GCTTAAACGAAAAAGAGAGTTTCAATTTTAAATATAGAAATTAAATGATCAATTATTTTTCTTGTCAGCAATTAGTTACAAAAAGAACCTATAGTCGACAAGAAAGTTTTCAGTTTACAGGTGACGTATTAAGATAACAAGATTGAAGGATATACGTGAGTTCCACATTTTAGCTCCAAAGAAGCTGCGCTAACAAGCTTTTTCTATGGCATTTGATCACTATTCAACTAATATCAATAATAAGATTTGGATAAAAACTGTTTTTGTTGAAAATTAGCTGGTAGCATCAGATCATAATGGGTGTGGTACTTTTGCATTTCACCTTGTTATCACTTACTACGTTGTATTAAAAAAAAAAAAATATGCCAAAAGATGCAGCTTGAAAAGCTCTGCAATTTACAAAGAACAATTATAAAAAGATAAGATAGAAAAAACCAAATTCGTCTTTTACCAAAAAACAATCTCGTTTCGCAACGTCGAAATTTGGTAGCTCAGAGTTTTGTCCATTTTAAAAACAAAAAGTGCAACTATAAAATAAGAGATCCTTTATAAATTGTAGAGCTTTTTACGTTGCATCTTGTGGTATATTTGTTTTTTTTAATAAAACGTAGTAAGCGATAACAAAGTGAAATGCAACAGTGCCACACCCATTATGATCTAAACGGTACCAACTGGTTTTCAACAAAAACAGTTTTTATCGAAATTTTATTATTATGATATTAGTTGAATAGTGATCAAATATCATAGAAAAATAGAGCGAAAGACGCTCTATGTGTGCATAAAAAAAGAAAATTTCTCCAAGCCTTCTATACGAAAATAAGGTATCTGGCCCACTACTTTAGGTATGACCTAAGTATAAAATGAAATTAATTACTTTTCTAGATACGGCCATGTCATTTGTAATAATGATGTTTTTTTCTTTGTAACCAAACATCAATATTTCTATCACAATTATGAATAATAAAAACTAATATAATATCCTTCTTCATTTCTGAATGTGACAGTAAAAAAAAATAATGTTAGAAATAGTTTTTATTCATGAGAAAAAAAAAGCTAATTAGTCTGTTATTTTTTAATTTTGAGAACATTAACCATAAACTTTTCCTTGAATATATTTCAATAAAGCTAATTCACCAGCTAATGTTTCTTTTCCAGTTGGAACAATTTGATCTTCCGGTAACAAAAATCCATAGTTTCCTTATTATAAAAAATTCAAGAAAATTCTTTTTCAAGAAAAAAAGGAGATATTCTCTTTACCAGTATCACGAAGTTCTACAGCATAGCTAAATATTATATTAGTTTTACCAAAAGTCCAATCGATTGTGCCGCCTGATGCAACATAAATAGTTGTAGCAACGGTACCATGAACATATTTAGTACCTCGAAGAAAAATTATTTTATATCAAAACTTCGCAATTACACTCACCAAAAACAGCACCGAGTGCTTGAACAGCTTGGGCTGATCCATCATCTTGTAATTTAAATTGTACTGGCTTTTGTCTTGTATAACCTAATGAGAAAAATAATTAAGGAAAAAAAAGTAAATTAATAATTTGAATGTTAATATTTACCCCATGGTGACATCCAATATTGTCCAAAGGAATGAAAATTCATATAATGTACAATTGTACTATTATAATTACTAAGAAACTGTGCTACTTGTGCTGTTTCGATTTCTGAAAATGGTTTACTACCACAAAAAATATCACTACATGGATCATGTGAGGCACCACCTACAGAAATATCATACGAATAAATTACAGAATGAATAATAAATAAATAAAAATATTTACTTTCACACCAGTGATAATCCCAATTACGATTTGCATCAGCACCAAAACAATTAGAGACTGATGTATTACTTCGAGTTTTACGCCATAATCGATCTAAAAACAACATTTCTTTTCAAAACTCTCCATAATTTTCTACTTTACCATTTGTCCATGTGTATACATAACCGTCTACATTAAAGACAGGTAAAAAATAATAATCAAATTGATCTACGAAATGCGTAATTATTGGATCTATACTATAATTTGATAAAAGAGCATAAGCAATATAAATAGTCGTTGCTGAACTAATCCATTCTCGAGCGTGAATACCTGAAGAAAAATATTTTCAAAAAATCTTATAGAATAAAACAAATTCATTGTTTACCTCCATCCAACCAAACGGCTTTTTTATAATTTACTGGAGTACCATTCAGCTTAACTGCTGTTTTATTCGATGATATTTTTAAACCCTTCATCTCACGGTTTTCATATGATTTTCCAACTGTAAACGATGTAGCTAATGTTGGATATGTTTGAACCATTTGATCAATCCATGCGAGAATTTCTTCAATTGGATGATATTTATCATATGCAAAATTATCAGCAATTACAGATAATGGTTGTAATTGATTAATTAATGTTTGTTCTTGAATAACAGCACCAATATCTGTCATCATAACATCATATTTTATTGTCATACCATTTGATGATAAAAAATTAGCAAAACTATTGATAGATTCAGGTGCTATACTAACATGAATCTAATTAAAAGAAAGAAAGAAAGAAGTATACATATATGATGACTAAAATAATTGACTTGTAAAATATACCGGAATATTTTCATGAAAGTTTTCAGACCAAAAGCTAATATTCTGTTGATATGCTGTATGACTAAAACGAAGTAATTTAGCACCTTGCTCATTATTTGTAACATATAAACGCCATAATTGATATTGTGAATACGATTTCAAAGCGTACACATTTAGATTAATAGTTAATAATAGAAAAAAAGGGACAAAATAATGAACGAACATTTTCATATCTGTAAGAGAAAAAAAAATATGAAACAGACAATACTCAATACACAAACATGATTGTGAAGACTTTCTTTTACTTGTAGTAAATCGATTAAATTGAATTTAAAAACAAAATATCATACAAAAGCCAAACATGAAAGGCAAACTAGATTAATGACAAAATCTTGACAAAAAAAATGCAGTTCTGGCATCTAGTATACTAAATCTAACTATTCCCTTCACTGATTTCATCAACAACAATAATCACGAAAAACCCATTAAACATGACACTTTTTGATTAAATTCAATAAAAATTTCTCAATTGTAGGATGTACTTAAAAATCAAGTAAAAAAATGCTTTGGTGAGCAGAGTCTTTGCGGCAAAATTGGCCTCTATGAGCATTTTTGTACGAAACCGTGCGCGATAGCGCTGAACCAAATAAATTTGTAGAAACCTTGCTCAGCCCTTATCATGAGATGCCTAATTCGAGCTCGAATATGAATCAAGCTTCGGAAGCTTGATAGCAGTTCGAAAATAAATTTAAAAAATTGAAACGAGGCACTCATGTTATACCGGCCAAAAAGATCAAAGATAAATTATTATCTTAAGTCGAATTATAATTCGAATTGGAACTATTTTCTCCTGCAATGTTATAAGCACCATTTTCGACGCTCTAGGTTGTACCTGCGATGTCACAAACACCACAGTGAAAGGTAGACTTACTACCTGATATGCTATGCAGATTGGCTAATGTGCCACTTGCATCACCAGAAACGCTAAACTAACCACTCGCGAGGATGCTACGGTAAGCATCTCAGAGATGCTACATGAATATCCTGAAATGCTCAGGTACCACATGAGATGCTACGGATGGCACTTGACTTCCAAAGCGTAGTACAAGAGATGCAACAGGCACAATGTGAGATACCATACGTAGTATGTTCAGCCATTAATTGAAATGGAATTGGTCATATGTCCAAGCGGGTCTTGAAAAGTTGTGACTAGCATGTGAGGCTACCTGCCAAAAATTTACGTCGAGTAGACGTTTTAAAATGAAAATGATTCCTACTTAATGCTAGCACCATGGCATTAATTAATCATCGTGCCAATATTGATGAAAAGAATACTTTTCGTGGTTGATGTTCACACTCGTTCTCGTTCTAGTACAGCAACACTAACTTCTACTATAAATTTTGATATGACAGAAGTGTTGAACTCGAAGTTGGGGTGTCAAACGTGAAACATCTGTTATAGTTCGATATATATGAGCTTCCATAAACAGTAACGTAGACAGTATGCAAAATAATTATTTTGACACCCTGTAATACTTGTCTTGTGAAAAAAATTCCATAAAAAAGGAAAAACATTTTCTCGAATCTGACTATACCATTCAATAAATCAAAGTCTCTACTTTATTTTACAAAAAAACTATCTCTCAAAAAATTTTTGATAAAGTTTCGGAAGGTTTTCTATAAACTGCTTGATTTCCTATGTAAAAAAGTATTTGGACACCTCTAATTTTCTTTTGTATAGGAAATCAAGCAGTTTATAGAAAAAATCCAAAACTTTATGAAAACTTTTTTCAGAGACAATTATTTTTTCGTAGGGTAAAGTAGAGACTTTGATCTATCTAATGGTATACTTAGAGTCGAGAAAAGCTTTTTTTTGGTTTTTGTAGAATTTGCTTCGCACGACAAGTATGACAGGCTGTTCAAATAATTATTTTACACACTGTCTATATTCATATACATATATATATGAACAATGCTAAATACAGCCTATATCTATTAGTTGCCCGTCCATAAGGCAGAGAGTATATACATATATGTATACCTCCAGTTTTTGGAATAGGCGACTAGGACTATACGGGGTACTTAGCATTATTCGTATGTATATATATTTATATGTGTGTGTATATACTATCTGTTTTTTAGAATGGGGGCTAGGGCTATACGGGGTATTCAGAGTGATTAATTTATATACGGTGCCGCAAAAAGCAAAACTAAATCACAATTTTTTATACATACGTAGGGTTAGACAGAGCGTGACGAGCTGATCAAGAATATATGTTTTTATTTTTTTGAAAATAGTTCTTGAGGGAAAAAATTCAGCTGTTTGCCTATGATCTGCTTTTTATGAAGAATAGCTCAATTTTTGGTCACTAATAAATTGTCAATCTTTTGTTTCTTTCAAATTTTAAATGTGTTTGTTTCACATTTAGTGTGAAAAACTGAATAGAGAAAGATCGTTAATAAATGACTTTCCTAGGATTCTCTTTTTGCTTACTAAATCTCAAACAAACAGTTTTGAAATTCAAAGAAAAGAAAAGCAATTGGCAATTTCTCAGTTAACGAGAAGTTGCTATTTTTTCAAAAAAAAGATAGGGCACCGGCAACAGACTGAAATTTTCCATTAAAAACTCATTCTAAAAAATAATATATATATATGTTATTGATCAGCTCGCCATGCTCTATTTAATCATATATATATATATATATGTAATTCTGCTTTAATTTTGCTTTTTCGGTACCTGATATATATAAATGAAAACATCTCAGAGCCCATATACTGCATACTCTCCCGATGTGAAAAAAGAACCTGCATGCATTCATATTTGAATAGATAATTCTAAAAAAACCGTTAGTCTGCCACTGCTATTTGAAATTGAGTGTTTCAATAAAATATTTTCAGATCTTTTAACGAATACAACTGTGAACGGTTTTATTTCTCTGGTGAAACTCGCAAACCGGCTTCACGATACTAACTACAATTGCTTTGTGAGACGAGTGGGTATATATTAGATAATCTTTGCTATCCATCTCGTAAAAATTCCCGAATGCTTTCCCCGTCTGGAGAATAGCTATTATGATATCAAAACAATACTAAACTATTTTGATCGTAATACTTAGAGACAGAAAAAAGTGTTCAAGAGATACGACTAAAAAATGCCTTCTGAAGAGACTTCAGCCTCAAAACCACATACCGATGTTCATTGTTTTCGTGCAACACTTTGTATGCCCACCATCAGAATATCAGTGTGATGTATGATTGTTGTTATATAATTGAAGCAAGCGTATTATGCGCTTATATATACGCTCCGAAGTCAATTTTGTATTCGGGCATCCAACCATATCGCGAAATAACGATAACACTATATTCAAAGCATAATTTGTTTTTCTTCGTTGGAGAAAATATCATTCCTTTGTTTGTTCTCTCACACGTTGTTTGTCTCACTTAGTGGTCCCATATACAAACAAACGAATGCGCCATCCAAATGAGAGGTAAGCATTATTGAATATGCATTTTCTTTTTCCTTTATCTACGCCATTTCACGCCCAACATAATGCCTAGGCTTTAATCCATATAAACAAATACATTTTTCGCTTATTTACGTCGTTTCAACATCTACATCAGAAGTAAGGATTATTCAGTACAAATATTTATTCATTTTTCTTTATTGAGACCGTTTCAACATCTAAATGAGCAGTAAAAATTATTCAATAGGCATATATATATATTTCCTTTATTTGAGTGATTTCAAAATCTAAATGCCGTATAAGTTTTAATCAATACAAATATTTGTTTTTTTTTCCTTTAATTAAGTCATTTCAACGTCTGGAAAAGGAGTAAGCACTATTCTGTAAAAATATTTATTTTATTTCGTTTACTTAGGGCATTTTAAAATTTAATTGGTGCATAAGAATTTAGCAATACAAATATTTTTTTTAGTTCACTTAACCCGTTTCAACATCGGCACGAGGAGAGAGGATTATTCAATAGAAAATTCTTTTAGCGCTTATTTAGGTCGTTTCAGTATCTAAATGGCGAGTAAGTATTAATCAGTACAAATACTAATTTTTTTTTCGTTTAATGAAATTGTTTCAACATTGGGATGAGAAGTAAGGATTATTCCGTAATAATATTAACTTTTTAGGTTTACGTAAGTCATTTCAACAACAAAATGAGTGGTAAGGATTATTTAATACAATTATTTATTTTATTTCGTTTATTTTATTTAGGTCGTTCCAACATATAAATGTGGGAATTACGATTATTCAATACAGATGCATTTTTTGACCTTTATTTAAGTCCTGTCAAAATCCAAATGGCACAGAAGTTTCAATCAATGCAAATTTCTGTTAAAATAATAGTAACAATACAATAACAGAGTAGAACTTGTAAATGATAATTTCTATAATATATTATAATAGAAAAACGAAGTTAATTTCTATTAATTATAATATAATTGATTCTATAACATTTAATAGAACTTTCGAATTGTACCAAGCCATCATCAGTATTAATTTAGCATGATGTTTTATTTGTCCCTATGAAACTTCAAAATATCAATATAAAAATAAACTTCATTTTCTATTTTAATAGATTACATGTATTATTATTTACAGAACCTATTCCGTTATTATGTTTTTACTATTATTTCAATATTTTGAAGTTTCTTAGACACAAATGGGATAACATGCTAAATTAATACTGATGATGGGTTGATACAATTCGAAAGCTCTATTAAATGTTAGAAAACCAATTATTTTATAATGAATAGAAATTAACTTTGTTTTTCTCTTTTAATGTAATTAGTATATGTACAAATATTTGTTTTTCTATTTCTTTTAACTAGGTTGCTTCAACATATGAAAAAGGGATAAGCATTATTCAGTTAAGATATTTATTTTATTTCGTTTATTTAGGTCGTTTCAAAATCTAATTGGTGCATAAGAATTTAGAAATACAAATATTTTTTGTTTTTCTTGCAACTAAGTCACCACAACATTTGGATGCGTAGTAAGAACTATTCAAGGCAAATATTAACTTTTTTGCGTTTATTTAGGTCATTCCAATATCTAAATGAGGTGTAAGAATTAATCAATAGAGATATCTATTTTTTTCTTTTGATCAAGTCGCGTCAACATCCGAAGAGTGCATGAGAATTGTTCAGTTGATATGTTTTCTTTTGTTTATTTAGGTTGTTTCAACATTGGGATGAGGACTCAAGATTATT